GACACTGACTGCATCTGCTCTCTGCATGGGACTGCTTTGGACACTGACTGCATTTGCTTCTGGCACGGGACTGCTTGGGGCACTGACTGCATTTGCTTCTGGCACACGAAATTCCTCCACATCAACACGGCGAATCGAAGCTTGCATGCTGAGAGACATGCCTTTGAATCCCATTGGCACGCTGGTACCTGTAGCTTCATGGTGCAACCACAACGAACCATTGTCTTTGGCAGGAAACCAGCCTCTCTTGAGGAGGCGGCCGAGGCTGAGCAAGGGCTGTGTAACATCTGCCACGATACACCTTTCACGAATTGTGACCTCGCCTTCCTCACCATCGCTGACGACGAAGTCGATAAGCCTCTCAGCCTTGACCTTCATCGTTGCACCTTGGGCATCCTGAACTTGCAAGGGGCGGCTTGAGGCGCCGCGCCCGCACTCGGCGAAAGAAGGAGGGATGCACGACACATCGGCACCTGAGTCCAGGATGACAGTGCACTCTGAGGCGTGCACTGTTCGAACATGAAACTCATCATTGAAGGAAACACCTGGCGCAAGCGTCCTGCTCATCATCATCTGTATCGTCAAGTCGAAACTCCTCGAAGGAGTGGCGCAGGGTCATCATACGAATCTCATTGGGCTCATCTGCAAAGTCAAGGTCTGAAATGTCAAACAGAGCTTGCACGCGGTTCACGGCTCGGGACGCTTGGCTTGCGGCGCCGGAGGCAGTGCTATAGTTGGATCCGTAGGTAGTCGCCTGAGACGGGGCATACAACGGAGGTGCGAAGTGATGCTGCTGAGGGGCTTGCTGAGTAGGCTGCAAAGGCACCTGCTGGGGCTGATGCTGATGCGGCTGGACGGCACTGTCCGAAACACTTTGCACCCTCCGTGGTGCCCAACAATCTCGCGCAAAGTGGCCAGTTCTGCCACAATTGTGGCATTGAATGCCCTTGGCTGAAGTCTTACCGGATCCCTTGCCCTTACCTGGGTGGCCAGGGCTGCCCTTGTTATTCGGCTTCCCCTTAGGTCCTTGGCCTGGGCCCTTTGCACCTTTGTGGCCTGCATCCTTGCCTTTACCATACTTGCCTTTGGGGCCCTTAGCACCTTTGCCGCCTGGATCCTTGCCTTTAGGCTTGCCTTTCGCCAACCTGTCAACCTCCATGGGCTGCGGCTTGTCTGAGCTCGAAGAAGCAATGCCATAAGAGGAGGCGATCGACGCGGACCAACGCGTCTGGCTCGCATCCCACCTTTCAATAAGCGACCTCAGGTCGGAATATTGCGACGGGTCGCTGATCAGCACTGTCGCCTGAGTCTTGAGCTGTCCAGACAAACACCGCAACACAGCTGCAAGTTGTTGATCATTATTGAAGGTGGTGCCGCTCAATTGTTCATACTCCATGACTGCGGCCTCGAACTTGGCGAGCTGGGGCATGAGGCTCAGTTTCGAATCAAAAGGCGGCCAGCTGTGCAGGGCCTGAACCAAAGCCAGAATGCGGCCTCTGCTGGAAGGGGTCAGCTCCTGGATAAGTCGGCGATAACCTTCAAAGCCATTCTGCAGAGGAATTGACCGCAGCATACGCTTGTTCTTCTCGTTCAAAAGGCTTGCAAGAATGGTGTACAACAACCGACTCCTGTCGGCGTCCTCCTTCCCCAGGGAGGCCATGTCCACGGAGTCACCTATTCGGCTGCGAAGTTCCTTGATATTTGCAGTGAAGCCTTCATCAATGCAAGCTAACCATTGCTCAAGCTCCCAGGACCAGTTTCCCCACTGGGCTAACTCGGCATCTCGCGTGGTAGGAGTGAAAGGCTCAGGACCCTTCACCACCTTGGCAATGTCCTTTGCACGAATAGGCTCCTTGCTGTCTGCACGAGCAGCCGCGGCAGTCTGCTGGTCACGCATGACCCCTGCCATCATCTCAAGAACTTGCATGAGCCGGCCTGCATTCGAGCTGGCAGCTCCGGCGGCTCCTGTCGGGGAAAACGGATTTGCGCCTCCAGCGGGCGCCTCTGGATCACTGTCAAGATCATCACTCATTGTTCAGACAGAAAAGCAAACGCTCAATCCAAATCAATGACACCACTCTGGGCCCGAAGGCTGCAAGGGAACTGGGGCTGCTCGCCAGTAAGCTCGATAGATAGGCACTGCAGGGCTTGGACGGAGGCCTGCGAAGCGATGGGTCGCCTCAAACAGTTCACAATCCTTCTCAAACCTTGGGTGTTCCTCGGTCGGATGCAAGCAGGAGTGCACAACCTCCTCGCTCACAGCACAGTCGTGTACGTCTTCCACGACAAATGATCTGAAAACGTCCTTCAAGTGTGGGTCCTTGAGGCTCCGGCACGCAAAAGTGTACAGGTCTTGCAAGGAATGAATGCTCTGCACACGTGACTCGACGGCACTCTGGGCTGTACTCAAGATCTTCTGCCAGCCTTCGTTCGACCTGCCTTCGGGTCGCTCCCTTTGAAGCAGCTGCTCAAGATGCAGCTGACAGATCCTTTCTCGCACGGCCTCGATTGAGGCTTCAGTAGCAGCCGTGGCTGCTATGGCGGCGCAGGAAGCTACAAGAAGTTTCTCCGAAGCAAGTCAAACAAGGTTTTCCGCCCAATGGCCCCTGAACTCAAACCGAAGGTCCGAAACGTGTTTCGGAACTCTTGGCTTTCCAAGAGCTCCGCTACCATGAAAAACAAAACGCTTCTTTCCACTCACACTTGAGAGCCTGTATGTCGCAGCATTCCATGCGTTCTCATGCCGCACGAAACACGGAAAACAATCTCCAAAGGAAAACAAGTCTGTACGTGTACACGCGTGTGCATATGTAATATGCACTGTCTGAGCAAAAGTAGACACGAGGGATGTACGTCTAGTTTCATCACATATGCGAGTACTCTTGGTGCACACCGTAGGCGATTGCTGGGTAATACTCACACCTGATCTAGACATCTATGAGTCACGAGTAATGATCAGCGCTTGAATCCTGAGCCCAAGCCACCATGGTCAGAAGGATCAGAACAATCAGAGCCATCATGAATCATGAGAGCCCGCGGTCCTCACAACAATATAGGAACCTTCATAATTGGAATAAGGTTTTGGCTCTACTACACTACAGTCACATCGGGACTATATGGGAATATGAATATGTTTATTGGTCCTTCAGATGCCCACAAGATACACATGTTCTCATCAACATCCCGAAAAAGCCCACGAAAAAAACAGGAACCCAACCTTAAGCCTCAAACCCTCATCACCATTGTGAGACTACGAGCCCCGACTCTGAGACTCTGAACCTCGCGGCCGAAAGAAACGATGCGTCACAGGCCTCATTGCCAGAGCCTCAGAACCTGAGAGGCGTTCATTATGAGAGCAGGGTTTTCCCTGATGATGGAGTGTTTAGGCCCCTACATTTACACCTTGGACTCCGAAGCTTTCCAGAACTTAAAGGGGTTTCGAGTTCATCTCACGGTCATTTTCCAACGAACATGCACTGTCGCAACATCTGTTGCCTGTGCGGGTCAGCCTCATCAGCCACTTTTGGGCTATTGGGCGGGAATTTCCACAAGTGCGCCGGCACCGGCAAGGAACTCTTTCCCCAATCTGTCATCGGGTCAAGCATCATGCTTTCCACTTCACGTTTGATGCCATCCGCCGTTGCGCCCACATGCTTGTAGCGCCTTGCTGTCGCCTCCACCGTGTCGTTGTAGTATTCATGTAGATAGTCTTCGCGCTTCTTGCTTTCTTCCCTCAAAACCTGAAGATTTCCAGCCACCTGATTGCACTCCACAATCACATCTGCCAGCTCGTGCCCCATCAAGTTGTATATAATGGCTTCCTCCTTTGCCATGTTGTCCAGCTCCTGCAGGGCAAGACAAAATTGCAATGACCAAATGCAAGTTCGGAAATTCCAGCCATATGCCTTGAAAAACATGCAAACAGCAGTCCTTCTCCCTTGCATCATTCCATCCTTGCGCTCCAAGGTTAAAATTGTCTCCTAAAGGGGTTGGGAGGTGAATTTTGCCCTTGGTGCTCTTCTCACCCCAAATGGCTCGGTCAAACTTCGGGATGAAGTGCTTGAGGAGGACGTCGCTGATGATGGGGCGATTGTAAGCGCTGCCCCCCGTACTGACGATGACCGGCACGATGAAGAAGCAGCCATGTCCGTCCTTCAAGCTGCGTAGTTGCCAGTTCTTGCCCTTGAAATAGTGAATTCGGCTAGC